TCATAGCAGTAAATGGAGCCCTGGCTCTGAGGAAGCTGGCTACCTCCACCTGAGGAGGGGATTGCTAACCTTGCAGGCCTCTTGAGATAGACCAGGCCATGGACAATGGCCAGCTCTCTGGTCTAGGCAATGCACACACTAAGTTGCTTACAGGTTGGGGATTCATGAATCAAGTGGTTACTCAGGAACTTGGGTGTCAGTGGGTTCTGATCCTTTTACTTGTGACCTTTGGTTTGTTTTTTGTCTTTGCCCCCCTCCTCAACCCCCCACAGGTTTTCTCTGTGTGTAGCCATGACTGTCCTGGAACTTGCTCTGTAGACCAGGCTGGCCTTGAACTCACAGAAATCTGCCTGCCCCTGTCTCCAAAAGTTGGGATAAAGGCATGCACTACCACTGCCTGTCTGGCCTTTGACTTCTTAAAGTAACACACAAACCCACCTGATCCGAGTGAGCTTTTCCTAAGAACAGATGGAGGTTCACAGGACACTTAAGGGGGAAATACAGAGGGTTCCCTGTCCTGTCCTTCTTGTCCCTACATTTTAGCTTTCTTCAGAATATCCTAGGGTGCTCACGGTGTCACCTTTCCAAACCAGCTCTTTTACTTGGTAACAAGTGGTGTGCTCTCAGGGCCTTCTCTGTGACCACTGGATGTTCATTCATTCATCCAGCCTTTCATGTACTCAACAGTGACCGAGGGGGCCAGTTCTCCAGCAGAGAACTATATAGGCCATGAGTAGATAGACATAGAGGTGCAGTTCCCATCTTCATTCTGGAAGCCCAGGCTCCCTGGCAATCTGCAGGACTCTCCCTTGTCCCATGTGGTCCCTTCCTGACCACAGCTGCACAGCAGAGAGGGGCTGCCCTAATGCCACTCTCAGACACCCTGAAATTTTTGCCCACCCAGTCATGGTGTTAGCAGAGGTCACGTGGTCCCGTTACTGTGGGCTTGGTCCCCTTTTTGCTTGGCATCTGATGGATTCCCTGTAGAGCGGTGTCCTCACACTGGCTTCAGTCAATCATTCCATCTTTCCCTTATTTAAAGGTGACAGAACCTAAGTCCCATAGTTATGGAACTCTCTGGGCTATGTGCAAAGGACATTGGTGAGGTTGTTGCCTGCTGCAGACTCAGTTTCCCCATCGGTGCTGGGGGCCTTGAAGTGTGCGACTACAGCGACCTTTCTAATACACCAAGCAGCAGTGAACATTCAGGGTAGAGCTGGCATGAGCTCCCAGGGTCCCCTGCCAGGCAAGCACACATGCTTTTCCATTTTTAATATTTTCTCCAGCCCTCCTTTCCTGCCTGTCCCCACCCCTCTCCAAGCGGAGGAAAAAAAGCAAAGTTCCCGAGTCTCACAATTGTGAGGTGTTCCCATCACCCTTGCTGCTGTTGGGACACAGAGCAGGGGGGGGGGGCATTAGACACAAAAGGGCCAGGACACCACACTTCTCTGACACAGGCACGGCACCACACCCACACCCAGCCAGAGCTGCTGCTTCCTGTGACTGTTTGAGAGAGCCACAGGCAGCCTGTGACTCAGGAAGGCGCATTCTAACCTGTCTAACCCATAAGCATCACCGCTACCACCCCACACAGGCCACACAGGCCACCGAGCTACCTACCAACCCAGCAATCTGAGTTGCAAACTACACACGTGGCATCTCCCAGGAGGACCATACTCCTGTCTCTGCAATTAAAGGAGCCACTGAGTCTTCTTTGGGGCCCTGGCCCTGTGATACAAAACCTTCACCAACAATGTGGGATGAAGGGGAGCTGGGACTCAAACCCAAGATAGCACACCCAGCTCACTCACAGCCACCACCTTGAAGAAGGACCAGGACGGGAGTGACACACAGCCTCAAAGGATTAAAGCTGCCACTGCTGCCACAGATGGGGCACATCAGCCAGTGGAGACAAAGTCTCTTTGCGGTCCAAGGAGCAGCCGAGCACACCTTACAGACAGAGAAAGCAAGAGATTGCAGAGACTCTCCGGGCTCATGAGGGACCATGAGTGGCTCAGTGAGTAAAAAGCCAGACTCTCGAAACACCTGTCCTGCAGCTGCCTTGTGCTTACTGCTTCCTGCTTTAGCCCACGGAGTCCACATGGAGCCTATAAAACTCAAATCACTGGTGGTGGGTGGCGGGTGGTGGGGGCAGGGGACAGGGGGGGGACGACGACACAATGACACAGGGGAGATGAGCTGGAACCAACAGGGTGAATCCTCCTGTCTGTAAGTAGCTGTAACCCTTCCTCCAGCCATTTGTCAGACCTAGGTGAGGAAGGGAGTCTTCCTCCAACTCCTCAGGACTGTCGAAACTCTGGGAGCCTGGGACTGGTCCCAGCTTCTGGCCAGGACCTCTCTTTGCTGGGACATTTGTGCTCTCCTTGGACTAGCTCTTGCCGGGCACTCACCTTTTCTGGAGTAAGCCGTGCCTGTGTTCCCGTGAGTCCCTCGGTCCAGGTCCAGTGACTGCCTGTTGTGCAGTCCCAGTCGTCTTACCCAGTCTTCTGAGAGCTGGCTGGAGTGGCACGGGGGAACAGCTCATCTTTCAAGGGCTGGCCGGTGATGTCATCACTCTCCTGGGCACTCCTCCCTCCACCTCTAGCCCAGTTCAAGCTCCCATCTCCCGGAGCAGCAGCAGCTCCAAAGCTGTGGTGTTTTTGGAACTCCCTAGCCAGAGGCCAAACTGGGATGGCCACAGGTAGCCTTCTTCCGTTTGTGCAGACTGTGACTGGGAGCCTGGAGTGGCAAATGTTTTCCCTGCTGCTAGAACAGCCCTGCAGGAGCACGTGAATGCCTGTGTTTAACATAACCCTGCCTACCATTACTGGGTCTCCTTCTGAGTTTTAGGTGCAAACAGTGGGCATTTACATAAAGGGTGTAAATAGAGGGCAGCCAGTTGGCCAGCAGTGTTTTGTTTTTTGCTATGCACACCTCCCAAGGGTGCTGTGGCAGAAACTAGGATATATTTGAGAGAAGGGACACATTGCCCGCCAAGTCCTTGGGTGAGCTGTGTGTGTGGGTCCCTGCCAGACACTGAATTCCTTTGGGGAATTTAGAAGCAGTTTCTTCCTTTACTTCCAAGCTCTCTAGCCATTTTCATTTCCTTTGAAGATCTGCTAAAGACCTACAGTGCTTTACTCTCCAGATCAGAGGAGCGGAGGGCGCAGGGAAGGTCAGAGACTAGCCAAGAGTGAGCCCAAGGCTCCAGGCATCCACATGGGAGTCCTAGCTGCTGCCCGCCTGTCCCTGAATATCTCTCAATCAGTTTCACACACTGGGGGGTAGGGGGGGTGTCAAATGTCACTATAGGGATGGATCAGCCTGGGATCTATCCCTGGCTTGGCTTCCGACCAACTGAAGCTGAATCAAGGCTCTTCTGACTGGGGTGTCCCATTGCCTTACCTGCACCTCTGGCCTGTCTGACCCACAGGGAGTTCCTGTGGCTCCGGGCCTCTGGTCTACCTAGGTGAGTGAGCCTGCCAGCTGGCTAAAGCTGGATGCAGATGCTATTTGGCTACCCACTCCTGCAGGGAAAGCCACAACACCTACCACAGCACTGAAGAGTCACAAGGGAAGGGTCCATCCATGAGCTTTGTAGGACAGGCAGAGAAGCCAGACTGGTGACCCAGAGGCTGAGGCTGTAGGGTTTGGAGTTAGAGGTCTGTTTATTGTACGTGGTGAGACCCAGACTCAAAACCAAGAATAAAACCCCCAAAGCCCTGCTATCTTGTCCCCATTCTGTATTCCGGTCTGGAGTGGCTAGCTCAGTGTACATTGCAACTGTTTCTCTTACTGGGTTCTCCTCTGGTGGGGAGCACCTCTTCACCTTGGGGCCAGATACTCAACAGCTATTCAGAGTCCTACAGAGAGGTCGTCATAGAGAGAGAGAGCGGGGAAACAGAGAGACAGGAGACAGGAGAAAGGGGTTGGGGAGAGACAGAGAGAGAGCGTATATTATCAGAGTCACACTCAGATAATCTCCAAGGAGTGTGAGACTCAGCTAGCCCCACCTACATGCCACCTAGAAGCTGCCCCTACAGGTCTGGCTTGCTGTCACCCTGTGTCAGGGGCAAACCCTAGTGTGGCACTGGGAGCAGCTTCCTCTTCTTGGAGGCATCCAGTCACCAAGATTGTGACTTCCATCTAGCAAGCTATGTTGTGTCCAGATGTCACATGAATCCAGAAATCTTATACAACACCACACCCCTGTTTATTGACACTAGTAACGGCCTGTTCCTCCATGTCTTCATAGCACCCTGTCTTTTCCTTCTTTTCTTGCTTCTGTACCACCCTCCTCCTCTCTCCTTCCTTTGTTCTCCCTTTATTCTCTTCTCCCTCCCTCATCACCTCCTCATTCTCCTCTACATTCACTGGTCCATCTACCCAACTGTTCATTTCACACATACAGAGAAGCAGGCCGAGGTGAAGAGCCGGGCATACACCTAAGGGCAGGGTAGGCTGCGGAGTCATTTCAGTCTGCTCCTTATGAACTTTGGTAGCCACTCCTCTTTGGCTTAGCCTACTTTTTTCCATTTTGCTTTTACTATGAGCAAATCTGGCTAAACTGTTTCCGAAGGCTCCCTGAGGTAGATAGATGCCTGTGCCATCCTCGACACTCTTGTGTTTGTGTGGGGGCTGCAGGGGGAGGCTCAGCCTGACAGGACTCTAGCCTCAGCCCCTCCACTGTATTCAAGAAGGGCAATGGAGGAGGCCAGATGTTCTTGCGAAGCCCCCACCTCTCACCCAGCCAGGGCCCATCATACAACATGCAGAGGCTCCCCATGTCCCGCTCGCTCTGTCCAGTAGCTTCTCCAGCCACCTTCAGTCCTCTGAGCCTTCGCAACACGAAGCCTCCTCAGCTTCCTAAGTGTGGAGGATCACGTTTAACACTAAGTGTGGAGGATCACGTTTAACACTAAGCCTTTGCACTGTGGTAATCTCCACCTCCCGGGCCCCAGATGGCAGCTCCTGTTTTCTGGGAGGCTGTTTGGGAATGCCTTCTGATGTGCGCGTCCAGGTACCATGTCCCATCTGTGTTCACCAACTCCTGCATGTCCTGTACCAGCTCTGGCTCTTTTTCTTGGTGGGTTAAGAAACCCACAGGGAGGGAACCCCATCTTTTACTGCTGCTTATCACCCCAGGAGTGGGCACCCTATAGATGGATTGGAGAAGGGAAGAGTCCTCCCACTCAGACTAACTGGGGTGAGGTTGAAAGACCAAGTAAAACAGAGCATCACGAAGCAGGTCAGCAGCACATCTGTGGATCTCCACCTCTATGGCCCAATGTTCCAGAACATTCTCTGCATGTCTGTGGGTGAGGAAGAAGTCCTCAAATCTTCTAGAACCGGCCTATTTTTCTTCAGAACTCCATTTCAATGTCTGACCACAAAGCTTATCAATCAGTCAGTCTATCTATCTACCAATCATCTATCTATCTATCTATCTATCTATCTATCTATCTATCTATCTATCTATCTGTCTATCTATCTATAGTCTATTCTACTTATCCATTATCTATCTATCTATCTATCTATCATCTATTTATCTACTTATCTCTCTATATACCTATCTATCCATCTATTTATTTCTCTACCTACTCATCTATCTATATTCATCTATCATCTGTCTACTTATCTGTCTCTCTACCTATCTCCCTATCTATCATCTATCTACTGTCTATGTCTATCTATCTATGTATCTATCAATCATCTATCTAATCTATCTACCAACTGTCATCTATCGCTTGTCTATCAATCTATCATCTATCTACATATGTATGTTTGTTAAAAGAATGTATTAAACAGCCTGTGTTGAAATAATAGCAACATCTCACTCTCACACCCCAGAGGCTGAGAACCAGTAATCATCTGACCCTTAAGCCTGGGTACCTCAGCAATCCCAATCTGGCACTGAAAACCCAGACAGCTCCTGGAGAGCCTCAGGACTCAGTCTACTGTGGAAGCTTGGACACTTTGGTTCTGATATCATTGAAGCAATCAGCAGCAACAGGGTAAATTAGCCCAGAGGCAAGAAAGAGGCCAGTCAAGCAAATGATCTTCCTTCAGTCATGCCCCACCCCTTAAATCTGGGCGGCCTCGTAGCTGACATTCATATTTGGGGTGATTCTTCCCACACCAAGTATGGCAATTGGGACAACTCCTCCATGGAGACTCCCTACTTGGGTGATTTGAATTTGTGGCAAGCGGCATTAAAACCAAGCATCTTGGTAGTGGCATGCACAGGTTGGTCCTGACTTTGGTTCTTAGCTTTCAGTGTCTGATTGTCACTCTGTAGGACACTCAGCACTCCCACAGTTGGCGTTTGTCTCACTGCCTTCTCTGTCTGGTTCTCTGGGTCTGGAGTCCACATACCCATACAGGGGTCTCCTACTCAGGCCTGCGGGGACAGACCTGGCCCTCGTTCATGGGACTGGGCACTCTCTGGACTGTGCTGTGTCTCAGCATGTGATTGTGTGATTCCACTGCCTTCACAACAATGAACGGAGCCTGATGAGGAAACAGAGGCCGAGAGGCTCCTTAACCTGTTCAAATCTTGCACATGTGAATAGCCCAGCTGCAACCTGAGCTCCAGTTGACACCTCTGACTTCAAGTCAGGTGCAGCTGAGAAAACCCCATAACAGTGGCTGGGAGATGTTCAGTGGGTAGCGTGCTTGCCCCACAAGCATGAGGACCAGAGTTTGATACCCAGAATGCCTATGAAAAAGTTGGGTGTTGTACTGGCTTCTGTTTTTAATCCCTGCACTGGGGAGGAGGAGGAGAAAGTCCGGTTCCTGGGGCTCCACACGATCAGCCAGCCTAACCTACTTGGCAAGTTTCAGGTCTGTGAGAAAACTTGTCTCAAAAAAGAAAAAAAAAGTGCCTAGAAAATAGGAAATAACACCTAAGGTTGGCCTCCGGTCTACATGTATGCACTCACACACAAACCCTGAGAGTAGATAGAATGTGTGTAGTTCTCTATTGTTTGAGTTCCATGCCTAAGATAAAAATCTAAACACTCTGGAAAGTGCATTGCTTGGAGTAGTTAGGAATCTGATGTGGGGTGAGTGTGTGTGTGTGTGTGTGTGTGTGTGTGTGTGTGTGTGTGTGTCTGTCCATATATGCATATGTGTGTTATATTTAGCTGGCTTCTTATGCAGCATGTATAACATTATATGTTTACCCCTTTACACATGCTATCGTACTCTGTGAATCTCTCCTGTTTCTGTTAATCTTAGTGATAGGACTCAAACTCTGGATCTTGTTTGGGGAGCACTGCACCCCAAGCTACTGAGCTGTCTGCCAAGCCCTCCCTTTTCTGTTCTTCCTTTCTTGGAGACTGAACTTTCATGCATGCACCCCTTGGCCCTTTGCTGTGTTTTCCTTGCCATGCTAACCCCCTCCAGCCATCGTGCTTTTTTGAGCAGGGCACCCTGATCGGTGAAATCGAGACCAAGCGCATCTGTTTTCCCCTTCTCAGCCTGGCACATTCCACCAGC